CGCATTACCTTAGAGACATTCTCCCCCCCGTCGACCGTCCCACCGACCGTTACAATGACGGTCACACCCTTCGAGACCGAGGCCAACGACTTGCCCGCTGGCTGGCTCAGGTAACTTACTGTCCCTTGACACTTATCTGTTTTCGTACCTTTTCCTCCCCTTGTTAATGTTCTGACACTTCCCTCTACGCGCCTTTATAGGGAATGGTCGATCTCACGCCTTTGATCGAGCAGACGTTATCGAGCTCTGGTCGATCTATCTCGGCCCTTGAGCGGAGCAATCTTCAGCTCGGCACTCAGCTGGAAGAGACTGTCGTCAAGGCCAACGCCCTTCACGAGAGGCTGAAGGAGTCGGCCGCCCGGGATAAAGCCCTCTCTACTGAGAAGGAGACACTTGAGAGAGCTCTGAAATCCTTCGAGGAGGCCCTCGCAACCGAACGAGCGAAAAAAGAGGCCCTTCTGGCGTCCAAAAAGGCTCTCGAGGATGAGAAGTCAGCTCGGGCACGTGAAAACGTTGCTTTCAAGCAGAGGGCTAAGCCCTTGATCGATGAGGCTGCCCTTCGAGCTCGGCGGATGGTCTTCCACACAACCGCCGGTCGACGCTTCCCACAAGCTTATCGCGAACAAGTGGTGGCTGCTTTCAAGCAGTCGCCACAGTATCTAAAGGATGTGCAAGATTATGGCACCCACTGCTTTGGGGCCATAATGCAACAAGCGGGGGTCCAAGTGGCTGAGGATTGGTTCGAGGAGTTCAACATGGAGACCATATGGGATGCTATGCCCAAAGCTCCCGTCGGCTATCAAAGTCCCCTCGACCTACCTGATGACCACGACTGGTGGTCTGGCCTGCTCGAGCTCGTCGTGGATCAGAACGACCTACTGAAGTGTACCTTCAAGCTCCCTGCCGGCTATGTTCCTCCTCTTGCTCGTCAGGTCCAGTCCACTGATGGAGCTGGGTCAACCTCTGGCTCCAGTCAGCCAAGTAGACGTGTCCATTTGCCGGGCCGGGTCGAAACCCGGCCTGGCCCGCCGGGTCGGCGGTTCACCGTGGGCTGAACCGGGCCCGGCCCGCTTGTAACCAAGGGCCGGTTCACTGAACCGGCCCTTAACCGCCGGGTCGCAAACCCGGCGGGTCGAACCGGTTCTGGGTCGGGCTCGGCGGGTTTGCGGGTTTTTTAATTTTTTTTTGTTTTTTTTGTTATTTTAATGTATATTAATGTTTATTTGAATAAATAGTTTGTATATACTTCGAAAATATAAGTTTTTGAGTCTGTTTGTCTATATCATTTCAAAATGAAACAAAAATAATGATCGGGCGTCAATTCTTGGAACCAAACGGTTAACGGTGTTGTATTTTATTGAGTATGGCGGAGAAGTACAACTTGAGGTAGTTTAGAAATGCTAAATTGTACGTCAAATGAAGTCGAATAAGTGTAAAAAAAAAAATTATTAATGTAATGGACTTGAGCTTAGTTAACAGTTATTAAGTTCGAATATCGTGTACAATGAAAAATTTTGTTGCCAAAAAGAACTTAATAATGGTAAATAAGGTGCCTACGTATCCCTTTATTTGGGAATCAAAGTCCACGTAGTTCTTCTAAATCACATACCTTGGCTGCATACCTTTAATATTCGTATTCGTCTTCGACGTCCCCCCCGGTTCCACTTGTCGACGACGTAAAATCGGATGCATCGTCGTTGTCGTCCTCCTCCTCATTCGAAGTGAGCATAGCAGTTTGCATCCTTCGTTCGGCCTTCTTCCAATCACTCAGTAACATTTGTGCTTGAAGATTATCAGGCGTCATCCTCGACCGTCGTGGATCTAGCATGTAGCCGCCCTCACTGAATGCTTGCTCAACCGCGACTGTAGATGCTGGGACAGCAAAGATCTCCTTGGCCATAATGCATGGAATAGGAAAAATTCCTCCCATTCTTGACCACCAATCTAACACATCGAAATTGAGTGGCGGTTGAGGTGGACGTGCAATCGTAACGGCTAAATTCGACGTAAGGTAGTGATCCAGCTCATAGTATCCAGTCCCCTGCACCCTTTGACCGCCCGAGTTTTTGTAGGGATTTAATGAATCCCAAAACACTTTGAAGTTTCCGAAGTTTGTATTGCCGCTTTGCCCTCCGTACGAAGATGAAGACCCGCTGCCGCTTGCGCCGCTGCTACGAACAAATGTGCTGGGAGACTCTCCATGTGCGATCGCTGTTTCCTTGAACATGTCATACAAAGAATTTTTTGCTTGCTCGACGAGCTGCGGTATGTTAGGTTTGTCCCTGTAAGTCGGGACCCCACTCGGCAGTGGCAATTGATACATATAATCATAGTACATATTAAGTTGATTTAACAAACCTTGCTCACGAACTGTAGGATCTAACAGACATGCAATTAAAAATGTATCGGGAATATAGTAATAATATTTTAGCCATTTTTCTAACATATTTTCTACTAGACCAGAATATTTAAAAGGATCTAAGTCATAAATATCTTTAAAACCCCACATTATAGCTATACATTGACTGACCACAAGTTGAGCAGTAGGATAGTAAACACCAGAAAGAATATTAGTAGCGTTTTGAAATGTTTCTAAAAAATTTGTAAGTTGCGAACAGTTTGCCCAATCATTCACCGAAAGTCGAACATCACAATCCCTACGGTTTGTATCATTAAAAAAATCCTGTAAATGCTTGGCATAATCAGCGGTGACATTCAACATTTTAAATGTTGAATTCCACCGGGTAGGCACGTCTGGCTAGAATTTTTTAGGTTTAATTCCAACACTCTTACAAAATCGTCCCCATGCTTTCATTTCTTGGGGACGTTTATGCAAATAATTGACGGCCTCCCTTATTGGCTTTACAGAATCCTTAAAAACATGATAACCAGCTTGAACACACAAATTTAAAACATGACATATACAACGAGTATGAAAAAATCTAGCCCCACAGATTGGTGTACAAACATCATTTAATTCACGTATAGATGCAGTATTTGCAGTCGCATTATCAAATGAAATTGAAAATACTTTTTTACCAATACTATAATTACCTAAGATTTTTGAAATTAAACGAGCAATATTAGAAGCAGTGTGTCGTTCATGAAAAATGCAACATAACCGATTAAACGTTTTTGTAAAGTCCAACTATCGTCAACCCAATGACAAGTAATCCCTAAATAAAAATTATTTATCCAATGATCGGACCATATATCAGCACAAATGGATACTCTATGATTTAAAGATTTAAAATTTTCTTTTAAAATTAGTTTCTTCTCACTCACGATTTTTCGAATATTGCGAGTAAGGGTGGTACGAGGAACTCGGTTGGCAGACGGATTTAAATCCATTTGAGCAAAATTTTCATATAAATCACTATCACCAAAACTATAAGGAAGAGACGAAGCAGAAACAAATTCAGCTAAATGACGTCTATGATTTTCATGAGAATAATGAAATAAAGAAGAAGACGTACCTGCACCTTGAGTGGCTGAGGAGGATGCTCCGCTGCTACTTGGGAATTGCGTCTGTGCCGTGTCGATTCCCATTACTGTCGGATGAACATTCTTCAAATGTCGGGTCAACGTTCCGTACCCGTCGCCTTTTTTGAACTGATACTTCGTCTTCGAATTGACCGGACAGTGGTTGCAAATAGCCAGAAAATAAGGATCACCTCCTTTCTTTTCATTTGGAGCCTTCGTGTAATGTCGGTCGAACATGACGGAATCCCGAGTTTTGACTTTACCGCCCCCGACAACTCGGACCGGCTGTGTGGGTTGTTGTGGCTGCTCATCCGGAGGAGTACTTCCAAATAGATCGTCGAGATGGTCCTCGTACGGCTGCTCTGGGCCCACCTCGTGTGAGGGTGGAGGCTGAACGAAATCGAACATTTGATCGATTGTGGCGGCATCTATATCGTCGGTCATGCCCGGGACATCTACATGTATCGTTGGATTCGCAAATGAGGGCAATGGAGGTGTCGTCAAAGTTCGGCGAGGTAGCCGTGGCTAGTGCGATGTGACTTGGTAGAGTGAGAAGATTCGGATGGAGTATCTGAGTCTAGTGGTTTGAGCTTCTCTCTTGCGTCATTCGTTCTGTTAGGATGATTCTCTTTCATTTCTGGGGACGAAAATCGTTTAAGGAGGGTAGACTGTAATGCCCCATTTATTTGTGTGTTTATTTGTGGATTATTTGGAAATTATTATTATTATTATTATTATTATTATTATTTTAAAAATGTGTGATAACATTATCCGATGTTTATTTAATAAATCGTGCGATTTAATCGAGCTCGAGAACGAGTTATTATCGCGAACCCGCAAGCCGAACCGACCCGTGAGCCGTTAACCCGCCTAAGACTCGGTTTCTCAAATCGGTGCGTGATGTGTGTGTGCGCGTGACTTTTCCTTGGAAGTTAAGAAGTCAAACCTAGCATAGCATATACATATAAGCCCTTGTATCTATTTCTTTCTCTCAATATCATCCCGCAGCCATCTCGTTCTCTTCTCTCTGCAAATCTCGATAGCCGCCATCACCCCTCAGTCGTTTTTCTCTCCGCGCAACCTCAGATTTCCCTTGCTCTCTCACTCGATCTCGGTGAACAGAGAAATCCCCGTCGATCATCTCTTCCTCACCCCATCTCGCGGACAGAAAAAAAAAAAACCAGTCACCATCCTCCTCCATTCGCGACCATCANATCCTCCTCTATTCGGGACCATCACTTCTGGCGGGTTCCTTCCACCGGCGATCAGAACCATCCGCGAGCAGCCGCGACTTCCGACGACCAGCACCTCGCCGTGAATAAGCCGGACCGCCGATCCTCCTCCGCGAGTTTCTCCCCCCTTCTCCTCCGCGACCCCTGTTCGTGAGTTCCAGTGAGTCCGCAGGCAACCACCGCGAGCAGACCTTCCACCGGCGAGCCCTCCGCCATCGCAGCAACTCCGTCGCGACCAGCCACCTCCGACGAGCTCTGTTCGAGCAGCGAGTCCGGCGACCCCATTCACGCAGCACCTCCACGAACATCCTTTGAACACCGCAGCTCCTCCGTCAGCGACCAACAGCGATTCCGGCAGTCGCTGCTCCTCTTCCCTCGGCGAGCCGCGTGAAACCGTCGAGATGTTGCCGTAGCCGCGGGCAGCCTCTGACGTGCTGTCGTCCAGTTTTTAGAACGTGTACCCGAGAATGGTATTTAGGCTCAAGCCCCGTCTCATTTATATTCGTGTATTGTATTATTGTGAATTGATATTTGATATCGAATCAAAAATACGTAATAATCAAGCAAAATCGTAAGGCGTTATTTTTCTGTCGTGTTTAATAAGACCGAGTTGGACCTCGGACAACGTGTTTTCGATATGTTAAACGTGTAAGTCCTAAAGATTGGAAATCGAGGCTTGCTTAACGTGTGAATGAAGTGATTTCGATGCTTTGATTGTTGTGCAATGTATTGAGTTGATAAGGGCATGAACACCCAAAAATCGAGTCTCAGTTAGGCTCTGTTTTGTCGACCAAGATGATGTTTCTTGGACAAGTAATCTTCATGAGTTTTGTAGTGCTCTGAATGAGATTTCTGTGAGTTTTAAAATTTAGTGATTTGGAGTTGAAATGAATTTTATATGATTTTTCAAAGTCAGGCGAGCGTGCTGTTTTGGTAAACTCGGGCAGAAAATTTGATCTTAGTTCATGACTATTTTAGATGTCCTTAACGTGCCTTAATGAAAATATGTTCTTCATGACAAATGTAGTATATATTGTAAGCTGCCTGTACAAATTAGAATTATGCAAATTGGAGTTTTGGTTGATTTTATATGATTTTTCTAAGTTGGATTTGTGCCCAGAAATTTTAAACAGTGGCTGTATATATGCATTGAATGTGTGCTCTGTTTTGATGATGCAAACGTGCTCGTAGGAAAAAGTTCTCTTCATAACAATTGTATAATTCCATGTGTAGGTTCTGTAGATTTTGAGTTTGTGTGCATTGGAGTTGTGTAGCTTGAGTTGTTGTCATTTTCCTGAGGTGCTGTATATCCGAAAAGTTGTTCTTTTCCTTTCCGGACTGCAGCTATGTTTTGTGTTGTTGTTGATTTATCTTTGTGACGATGTTAGAATTTGCTAAAGTTGTCTTCACATAAATTGTAGCTTTATTTCTTACCTTTATATGAGTACCAGATTTACATTTTTATCATGACTGTAGCTTGAGTTATCCTCAAAATATTGTCATCCTGTTGAATGTTTTTTACTGCACCCTTATGTGAATGTTTGTTGACTTATCATGTGGATAATGACCTCGTCTGATTCTGAGTTGTTATTGAGAGTTGTAGATCTATATCTTAGGATTAACATGTCGCTGGTTCATGTTATTTCGGCTTATGTGCTGCTAGACGTGTTCACTTGAAAATCGCTGCGCATATCATGTTTTACAAAATCATTAGATTAATTTCAAAAATGGCACGCACCATCGAAGTGCTCGATTATATGACCTAAGTGATTTATTTCTTTATCCATGTAGTATGTTTGATCCTTAAATCTCCTTAGAGTCAATAATTAAGCAAGCCAAGATATCCACCAACCGAAAAGACTTAAATATAAAATGTTTTCAAAGTTTATATACATGTATAAGACTAGCGAGTAGCAGTAAAGCCTTGATAAGGTTCTAAGACAAGTCCCATCGAATGTAGGTAATTGAGGAGTCAAGCGTCGACCTACGCCCTTTGCTTGTCGAATTATTTCAGTCTGGAAATCCAGGTGGGTACATTTATGATGTATTCCATATTTATCGCACTTATTATTTCGTAAAATGTTTCGTTTGAAAATTGTGGTATGCGTGAGAACCCTAGTCTAAGTGTCCCGTATGTTAGTGTCTTTGAGGATGCATAAACAGTGAGAGGTCATCGGCCCGTATATTCGGAGAGGTGACGCCCAGGTCCGTATGATATTCGTGAATGAGAAAAACATCTCTACTGTCTCCTGGAAAGGATCCCAGGCCCGTAGCCATTCGGTGATGGGAAGGTTTCCAGTTACTTCCTTGTCATGTGTGATCGGAAGGTTGTTGTATGTACATAGGAGGTTTGCGATAGGGCCAAGTAGGGAGTTAGACTGTTGGATTCTATGCATACTGAATACTGTGGTTATGATGTTTTAAAATGTTATGCGAGATAAATTATGCGATAATGGTGAGCTTGTTGGTTATGCTCACCCCCATTATTTTTCTTTGTTGTGTATTCTCTTCCTTTGCTTTAGGTTGAGACGAGCTGGAGGCGGTGGCGTAAAGACGAGCGAGATGGTGGTCATTTACTGGATGTGTCTTTTGCTTCCGCTTGATTTTATTTATGTTAAACCACTTGCTTTTGTTTTGGATTGTTTATGCTTCCGTCGATTTGGATTATTTATTTCTTCTTTTTTGAACTATGTTCGAGTTACGTTTGAACCTTGATTTATGCTAGACGATTTGAGAATGTTTTTAGACTTATGTTCTTCATGGGTTTGGTTATTTTGATAGCTCGAGGAGGTGTAGGTTCTTTGAATTGTTGGATGTGTTTGTTTGTAGTTGTTAGTAAGTAGCGCCCGTTCCTCGATGAATGTTTTAATTTGGATTTAAAAAAAAAATATAACTCTGATTTTTATTAAATAAATTGGGTAAATTCTTTAAAATAAATCGGGGCGTTACAGTTTTATTATTTAATTGCAAATTGGATATTAAAGTGATTGCCGTCACTTTGAATTATTGTCGAACTGAATATAACGAGGTTTATTTCGTGGAAATTCTGGAGTTATTGGTACTTGGAGTTGTCCTTGATTTATTGGTTTTAGTTTGAAGTCGTTTCGAATTGTATATAGGGAGATATGATTTTTCTAAACCGAACATGCAGTTGAACCGTAATAAATTCACCATAAACTGAGTTGTTATCCATTTGGGCTGAATTTTTTAGATGTTGTGCCACTCAGTATGTGGAATGTGTGTGCCAAGCCCCTGATTTTATCTTTGAGTTTTTGGTGTTCAAATGCATAAAACGATTTCTGAGCAGCAACTTGTAAAATTCATTAAAAATCGTACACTTGGAGGTTTGAGCTGAAACTTGGAGGACCATGTTATTTTGTGATGTTTTATGTTGTGTAAAAATTTCAGACTGAAACTCGAAGTGCAGCTATGCGAACCATTAAATTCTGATTTTGGCGCTGTTTTTGCTTAAATTATATAAAAATGCTTCCAGATGAATTTAGGGCTGAAACTTGATGAGTTTATGTGTTTTTTGCATGTTTTATAATGTGGTAAAGTTTCAGTTCGATTGGCTAAGCCTAACTCCTAATTCTGAATTTAGTTTATTTTGGATCTAAATATTCGGTTATCGGTTGTTTAGGTTAGGGATTGGATTTTGTTAATGTTGACATGATTTATGTGTATTATATGAAGTAATTGAGTTGTGTCCAGGTCTGGTAGTTACTCCATAGTACCTAACTCGGTCAAGGAATCCACGAGTCACTTAGTCGATATAATTTCGGCTAAGTATATGTGCCTTATGTGTTGTTTTGTATTGGGTAGTCAGTGATAGGTCATTATAAGTTTCTGTAGGTTCTTCGAGCTGAACTTGTGCCATAATTCCTTCAACTCTGTGTTTGGCTATACCTCTTATTATATACGTGTGGGTTTTATTAAAATTGTCTATGCAATAAATTGTTTACCTTACTTGTGATGATCAATGTATGATTACGAATCATGTAGCCTTCGATGTGAGCTGTACTGGCCGTCGAACAGTTATCCTGTACTTATGAAATAAACCCGAGGGGTTACTCCTACTGACTGGGCATCGATGGAAGCCCGTGGGGCGATTCGATGTGTAGGACCGAAGGGCATAAGTGTAGAGCCAATGGGGCATTCGAAGCATGACCCAAGTGAGGGCCTTCGATACATCTACCGGCAGTAGTCTATTGGTATACATGTGCACATGAGTCTGAACACTGTGAATTTTACGATGAAACTTGGGATACTTAAATTGATTCATATACATGCTGTGATCGTACTTTCTCTGTTACCGTTGGACACGTAAATGTTTATTGCATAGTGGTGAGCACCTCGATTTTCCTGTTATGCTCATCCCCACCTGCTCTTCATTGATGCATGTTAGTAATTGCTGGCACGACAGAGGGAGGCAAGTGGTGGTCATATCTATATATATATATATATATATATATATATATATATATATAATTACTGACTAACAACATTTAAGAAAACCTCATAAATTTTACCTAGCTGGCATTTTTTTCGTTTCCCGCCAATTTCCGTTACTTTTTATTTATTTTTCTATTTTTAGGGAAGATTGACTGTTAAAATTGGAAAAGAAATCAATTCTGCCATCATTAAGAGCTATTAAAAATATTCCCATATATTTTTAAATATTTAATTAGTCTGCACAATTATCAATAATTATTTTTTAATCTCAAAATAATTATAATTAAAATATTTATTTTTGGTATGCACAATAAATTAAAAGAAATTAATGAACAACAAGTAAAAAAATTAAATATCAGAAAATACAACCAACCATAAAAATAAATTAAAAAAAAATAAAAAATTCAGAAGCTCCTTCTCCTTAGTATTTGCAATTCCTGCAAAAAAAAAGAGTTAAATATCAACATTTATTGTACCACCAAACAAATTAATTATAATTATCAAATTAAAGTTCCAAATCTCAAAATATGTGGCGGGAAAATGAAAGTCATACAAATTTTTACATGACAAAGAAAATCATTATGTAGACACAATTATTGAAATATAATATCCATGATTATTGCACAAAATATGATAATTAATATTAAATAACACACAATATTTTACCTGCCGAAAAAAAGAACACAATTCTCAGTTTTCAAAAAATCAACAAAAATTAACACAGGACAATGAAACCAAAAAATATCTAATTAATTTTACTACAGAAAATCAACACATTGATATCAAAAAGTTATTTTAACTACTAATATGAACAGATCAATTCACGCAACTCTTTACAGCATGTTAAAAATATCAGTTTTCTGGACCTACCAAATATAAGTCATTAGGTCAATAATGTTAATACAAGGTAATAATTGCCATTAATATAGTATTTTTTTTTCCCAAAACGATAGATAATATTATAAATCAAAATGCACAAATGTGCAAATACACAGCAGTCAACGACTGAATACACAGCAGCCAACAGCTGAAAAAGTGGGAGGACAGGTCAGAAGACCGCCTAGAATCCCTGCTAGCAACGCTAGAATAAAAAAACACTCAAAACTAAACTAACTAATAACACAAACAACTAAAACAAACTACAAGGACCCCAGCGGAGTAATACCCGAGTGTCGGATCCCAATAGGATAATAAATTTGACACTCGGGCTCAGCCATTAATATAGTAAACATATATAGGTGCACGATTTCTATATAAACTCCCAAAAATTTTAGTCATTCTTTTTATCCATAAAACCTTCTACAAAGCACTTTTCCATTTTATCTACTTTATTATCCCAAAAAACGCAAGCACATAATCTTGCATTTTATCTACTGTATTACATGTAAAACGCAGCATACAAAGCAGACTTCAGCACATAATCCAAACACATGAAGAGATTGAGCAGCAGGTATAGCCTATTGGGCAACAAAAGACGCAAGCAAGATACTACTCCAAATGGTATACTAATGGATGTGTATCTTAGGGTTCTTTGAATTTCTATAAGAAAGAATTACCTTTTTTCTTATATGTTGATTCTTTTCTTCTACATCTGTGTTGCCTTTTCCATTTTGTTTTATCTACATATAAACAAATATTGTTAAATATCTTATATATGACATAGTAGATAAGAATTAAAAAGTTTACTTAATCTTATCAGTCAGGATAAGATCAACAAAAAATTATCCGTTTGTAGTTCATCAAGTGAAATCTTTTTCTTAGATAAATAACACATCGATAAAGTGAAGGAAAAACAATAATTAGAATCCATAACTTTGTTTTAAAAAGATTATAGCAGAAGATGTACGACATATTTCTGCTTTTTATTTTCTGAAATAATTTCAATTAAATCAGAAATCAATAAAAACCATATAATTGTTGTATTTTTTTAAAATAAATTTAAATTTAAACTTTCCAAAAACTAAGGCAGTATAAAATTCATATTTATAAAGGCAGATCATTACAAATAAACTGGGAGACATATGACAATATTTAGATTTAAACTATAAGCAAACATATAACCCTTAGAATAAAAAATTCAAATATAACAAGGCACCATGGAGTAAAGCATATAAGAACAAAAGCCACTGATTGGGTAAAACAACTAGAAAAAACAAGTAAGAAAACAATTGGATTGGGGAAACAGTACCTCAAAACCTTCTAGAGTCATCGTCAAACGAGCATACCAGTAGAGAAACTAAAAAAAGGAGCAACCCTGTAAAAGTAACAGTTAGTTAATCTCAATATCAATTTTCAAAAAAAGTTCAACCAAATAAAATTTGATTATATATTATATAAGAGAAATACTACAAAGTAATTAAGATCAGTTTTCATAGTTTTACATCAACATAAAACTACTCGTGGTTCTCATACTCAACAGGATATATATCATCCTCACTTTAATGATTCTTAAATTGCGAGCTAAACTACTTTCAAATTACTTGAATTGCATTTTATTGGCAGACAAACACATCATCCTTCAATGGATAATTCTAAACTTGAATGAATCTGAACTCTTTTCATAAATAAGAATTATCTATCCAAGTACAAATTTATTTATGAAAATACATGCACTTTGTATGCATTATATTGCTTTATTTAAAAATTATAAACCAAGACATACGTAAAATCATGAATAGGACTATTTTCAGTTAAAAAATTGAAATTGAGCTCAATTTGGACATAGCCCAAAGGTAATTTTAATCTACATTTCATAATCAAAAGACGGTTTTGGGCAGCCGCACAAACAGGCAAGATTAAACTCTGCTGTAGAAGTCATAAAAAAAAGCTAATACATATTTCCTTTCACAAACTTTAACTATGCTGCGCTTACCATGGTTCTCACATCTCAAGCCACATTTTGCAACATTTCAATTAATCCCAGTGATAAGCTGCAAGACATATGTACACAAGTACATTTTAAAATTATACATCGAATTAGAACATTTCATTGATTAAAATTTAATGTAAATTTATACGAAAACAAAAGAGTACATTTTTTTTTTTCAAAAAATGAAATGCTAATAAGAGATCTACATATTTCGAGAAAAAAAATCAATTTTCTACAAATCTATTTACATTGTTTAGTTAAAAAATAAAGGACTCCTTAATCCTCTTCAAATTTTAGCACATCTACTTATAACTTTCAAAACTTTTTAATAATTCAAACAAAAAGGGTATAAAATCTGCTTATAACCTTATAATTAAAATAAAAATATTGAAAATCTTATAACATGAATAGAAACATTTTCGAAAACACCATAAATCATTAAAAATACAAACGTAAAATAAAATTTTTACAAAATTAAAAAGAAGACAATGTAAAAACTGCAGATCTTCATAGATTTATAATGTAATCGCCCGATTTGAACCAAGATACTATAATTTAGTAAACCAATTTCACTTTTTCGATCTCTCTTTTTTCTAGAAAAAAGCATTTTTTTGGTGTTTTTCAATATTAAATGGAAAACAATCACCAGCAAAAACAAAATTTTCGGCTAAATTCTCAACAATATTCATTTATGAAAGGTTGAAGATAGGGTTTGAGATGGAGAGAATTCGGGAGAGAGATATGTGTCGATATGAGTCGCCCAAAATGGCGAGACATCCTCGCAATTAGGGTTTCTCCAATTTTATACCCAATTGCTAGGCATGTGTCACTCTAATACATGTATAATCAAAACTCAGCTCCTACGTGTCAAATTAAGGACCCATTCACTCGACACACAGGCTCAAATTTGGGCTTTTAATTGGGCTAAATTTTAATTTTTAAAACTATAGCCGAATAAATCTAATTTTAACACAAAAACTTTTTGTAATAATGGCCCAATAATCCTGCTTTATAACAAGGGAAATTTTCACACATACTACATGAAATAAAAGAATTTTCACTTTTACCTTCCTAGATCAATTAATAGGATATATACCTAATCAAGCTATTTTATTTACCTGATTGCCTAAATATCAGTTACCTTTTGTAACGTCCTCTATCCGTATCAGTTATCCTTTGGTGGCGTGATTTACTCATTTAATTCCTTAATTCCCGCAACTGGAATTCTTTAATTCACGTAGCTCTCAGGTGGTATATATTGAGTATATGTTAGTATATATTCAGTATATGCGCGCAACTAAAATTCCTTAATTCACGTAGCTCTCGGGTGGTATATATTGAGTTTATGTTAGTATATATTCAGTATATGTGTGCAATTGGAATTCCTCAATTCACGCGGCTGGTATATATTGCGTTTATGTTAGTATATATTCAGTATATGTTGCAATGAAAAAAATGTCTTCCATCAAAAATTGTATCTTCCTCTTTTTTTCTTTTATACATAAAAGTATATATATAGTTTAAAAACATATTATAACATATTACTTAATATAAAATCATACGTATACACAACACCAACAAAAAAATTCAGTTTATGCTATTTTTAAATAAATTTTATACATAAAAATTAGGTCTCGCGATAAATTTCTTTATCATATACTGAAAATATACCGAGTATAAATCATACATATACAAAAAAAAAAAAAAATCATCAGTTTATGCTTTGTCAATATAAACCATATATACATACATATAAGGTATCCCTTATATTATACAGAACATATACCTTAAATATACATAACATATACCCGATTAATTTATGGCCCCCCACCCACAATCTCCAATTTCCCAGTTTTTTTTCCATCGTCTTCACAACCTCCATCGCGTACTCCACTTGGAACAGCCGCCCCGCCGGCAACCACGTCGTCTCTTTGGTGTCGTATTGATTCCTGAACATTTTATAAACTCGGCTTTTCAAAATTCCCGAGATGGGTGCAGTGATTTATGTCTGCCTTTCTCGAAAATCCCGACGGTGGAGGCTCGTCGGTGACGGCTCGTCTCTTGGCTTCAGACTTGATCGAACGTCACCCGAGGGAGAAGGAGTTGCTGTTGTTCGGGACCCTTGGTTCTCCCTTGCTGCACGGCGGTTGGAACTCGCGGTTTCACTGCTATGCCCATGGTTGATCGGACAAGAATCTGATGAAGACGTCGCGCGGCTATGGTGGATTGACGAAGAGGGTTGAGAAAATATTTTCTCTAAAATTCTGATGATGATTCATCAATTAATTATGCGAAGAGTTTTATGAGATTTTGAGCGAAATCGATCGATGAGGATGAAGAATGGTTCTGAAATTTGGGGCAAATCATAGGAGAAGGAGATGAGAGGGAGAGAGAAGAATAAGATGAATAGAAAGAGGAAGAGAGAGAAAGCGTGTGATAATTATAGATTCCAATAAATCTGCTTTTACCATATTTCAATAATCTAGTATGTTTGTAAATAAATATAATAGTTTTAGTTAATTTGCAAATAAATATACATGAGTTATAATTATGTAATAAAAATGTTAAGATGTAGTGGATGGTATAATTTCCTCTTATAACAATTCAAAATGGGCTCAGATTTTTTAACTTTTTGGCCCAAAATTATTTAATACTATATATAGCAATAAAAGTATTAAAAAAAATGACCTGAAACATTTGTAATGAAAAAATATAATCATTTAAACAAGTAAAACCATTATTATATGTGTAAATTTAATACTGATTGTTATATTAAAAACTTGAATGTTTTTGTGTTTGCTCAATTTTTCTTCTCACAAATGTTTAGTCACAGGCAATTGTACGTGGTGCTTTCCAAAGTTACAAGTCGAAGGGATTTGAAGATAATAATTTGTGGTGATGAAAATACTTATGATAGAAAAACCACGAAAGTTGAATATAAAGAAGCAGTTAATAATATTTATAATTTCTTTATTAAACGTCTTTTATTCCAATGATTCTTTTATGATTTTTACTATTGGTTGTATTTTTTATTATTCTTTTTCTCTATCATATAGTTTTCCGTGCAAATGCACGGGTTAAAACTAGTTATTGATTATTGTACTCCCTAGTATTTATGGATTTGATGAACCCAGTTTTGAGAGTTGATGTTATTTATGAACCCGGTTTGGGTGTTGACCTATTTATGCAGGTTAGTAATTGCGGACACGACAGAGGGAGGCGAGTGGTGGTCATATTATTGATTATTTCCGTTGTTTAAAACTGCTTAGTATGATTTATGCATTCTGGATTTACGTTGAGTACTAGATTATTGATAGGGAGTGTACTCCCTAGTATTTATGGATTTGATTAACCTAGTTTTGGTGTTGACCTATTTATGATTATTGAACCCGTTTAGGAGTTGCATTTATGAAAATGTTAAAATTGTTTTTCGAAATGAGTAGCGCCTCAAGTGTTTTGAAATAAATTTTGTAAAATTTATTCTGATTTTTGGCAAATAAAAGTGGGGCGTTACAGTTTGGTATCAGAGCTAGTCTGAAAAATAATTGAATACTATGATATAGTTATGACTACTCGCTTCCGTCATGCTGCGCCAGCTCAGGTATGAGTACCTGAATTATTTAAGATTATTGTGCATTGATTGGTTATTGATTACTGAAATGAAACCGGAGCTTAAGAATTTATCCTCCTACTTTTAAACGTTCTGGAACTCTAGATGAGTGGCGAACCTTAGTTATATGAACTTGAACTCTAGCGACACAGAGTTAAGTTCTAACTTGAGGTTTTGTTTGTTTTGAAATTTGATATGGTGTTATCGAACTGAATCCTGTGTATAACAGTCCTCTCGATGTATTTTGGTGTCTTCGGAAGAGGACCATTCGCGAGCCATCTCGAAAGGAGAAGGTTTAAACGAAGGGAGCAGACAATCGAAGAAGTCTCAAGTGTGGGATATTTGGAGGTCTGTAACCATGGTTATTAAGACCATCAGATGTGAATATGTCTATGTTAATTTTGTGTTCATGAGTTTGAAATTGGTTTAAACATATGTTGAATATATGTAGACGATCTCTTCAATTTTGAGAAATCGAACGAGACCTCGTCGATTCGTGATATAGTCGCTGTGGATTGGAACATTGTATCGTCCTTGGTCTTATGGCGAAGACTTCGGACGAATTCGTCGTAAAACGAGTCGTAGATAAATTGTCGGACTTTAATAACTGCTGTTTTAGTGTTAGAATTATGGAAAATTAAGTGATGCTCCGTTTGGCTTGAAGATTTGAGCGTCTTGTCTTCTGTTGAACATCTGACTTGTGTTAAAATTTCGTAATTTTCCAAGGCTTGTAGCTATTTTAAATAATTAAAATGATTTCTGGTCAGTTTCATGTTAATTGAATAATAAATTGTGTAGAGATCGAAATTGGCTGAAAATTTAGTATATCATGCCACTATTATAATTTTATTCTGTGCAAAATGTTTATAATTTTTGGACTAAGTTTGATAGGGTAAATAATTTATTTTCTGATTCTGCAGAAAGTTGTTTCATTTATCATAAATCGGTTAGTTGTTGAAAAATTATGAAACATGGCTGGAGTACTTTTTTTATGTGTGTATTCATGCTGTTAAAAGATGGGAATTTTTGGAGTCCAATTTGGTTTGGTTTTAACTGAATTTTGATAAACTGCTGAAATTTGTAGGAAATTTTAAAATTCGTACAGTTAATGTCCACGTTCGAAACTATGACATGTTGCCACTCTCATGCTGTAGCCTGTGGTATAAAAAGTTTATAGGTTAGTTCATTCATTTAATCTGCTTGCTAATTTATGCTCGTTTTTGTTATAATCTTGCTCGAATTTTTTAAAATAGCACTGTTTGAGTTTGGGGCTAAAAATTTGTGGTATTACTTAATTCTCTGAGGTGGAATTTTAGTGAAAAATTCAGAGTTAAGTTCGTATGATAACCTGACCAACCTAATTTTGTGATTAAAATCTAGTATTGTTTTAGACTATGTGAACCCCCATGTGTATTTGGTTGTGTCTTAGTGTCGAGTCTAAGTGTTCCAACGTCCACAAGACTTCACGAACAACTTAGTCGAATTAAGTTCGGCTAAGTATAATTGTGAATTCCGTTTAAGTCAGAATAGATGTTGATTATAGCATCTGAACTTAATGTAAATGCTTGACGAGCCGAGCTCTCCGCTTATGAGTGCTTCTGTGTTATCTCCTGTTGTTATCGAGATGGAGTGTTTTTCTACCTTTAAAGATTATGCAGAAGCATTTTAAGGAGGATAGACGAGTCAGAAACAAGTACATCGCGTAGTTGAGACCCGTCCTTATTCTAAATCTTGTTCATCGTAAAAATTTTGTTCTTCTACTCCTTTCGGAATCCCGGGAAGAACTTCGCGTTCAAATTCCAAAGTGTGAAGATTGGGAAGTGAGTTGCGCTCGTTTAGGACTGCTGGCACGATTAGCTACCTGAGGAAGAGCTGACGTGTCGGCCGACGCTGTTAGTCGGAAGAGCCGAGGCGAGCTATCTATTTAAGGGCTCGGCAGAAGCCACCGATTTAGAGTGAATCGCCATGAGAGTTCTGTTCGGATTTTGCATATCGTTAGATCTTTGGCATATTGCGTTTTGTTGTTTTAAGAAGTTTGTCGACTTGGAACTCGAACTTGCACCTTGCTATTTTTGAGACTGTTTGAAACTTTTGAAATTGAAAAACGCCTGAAATGTATATTGTTTTGTTAACCCCAAAATTTTCGAAATTTGGTAAGACCATTCCTTTTTGGTAGCCTTGAATTGTAATTTCTTGTGGAAACCTAGACCAAACGCTGACCCTGATGGGTGTAGCCACCCGAAGTGGTGGCCGAGCATGCACGACCGCGCTGAGAGATAGGAGGCTTGCCCGCGGCCGACCGTTGACTCGCATGCGAACTACAGCCGCCATCACCGTACGCACGAACTCCCCAGGCCAGCGTATACGGCCAACCATCGATGATTTTACTGAACTGTTGAAACTGTTTCATGCTGGAATACTTCATTATCCTTATTGAAACCTTTCGTTCGAACCTTAAATCGAGAGCTCCAAGTTCCACTAAAATGTGTATATATCCTTAATCGATGATTTTTTATTAAGGAGTGTAGTCGATGAGTCCCTATGCTTTACTTGAGAGTTTCTCGAGTCGGAAAATTGAGAATGTCGTGTTGCTTTGGGTCAAGCCTTATGTTTGTGCATAAGGGTTTCGTTCGACTCGTGGAGTCGATGTCATTAGAGTGTGAGCTTAATGGTGTCGTGCTTTATGTATGTGGTACCGTGTCGTTGTCTCTGATAGAGACACACGGTCGTGATGAAATCGTGAGCAAGTTGTCAGTGTGACTCGGATGCGCGACTGAAACTTGGCGTCACATGTCCACCTTGATAATGAGGTAGTCGCAGTACACTGACAATACACCGAACGAACTGTTAAGGTCTTGTGTGCTGTTGCAAGTCGTTGATACTCATGAGTATTGGCTAAACCAAACTGGGTCCCTTGCAAGAGGATGTACGCCTGAGCTCGGGCAGGACTGATCACCCTCCCAAGAAAGAAGGTAAACATATGAGCATTGGCGAGTCGGATTGGTTCCTGTATGTGATTACATTCCTTTCGAGTATTAGGGGATAGGACTGATGGGAATGAAATCGAGTTCTAGAGGGTGATACCCGGACCTCGTGATTGGAAATTTTCCCAGTTCGAGTCTGCCGTTTCATTTTTGATATGTGTTTTTTTTCGCACTTCCGAGGACGGAAATATTTTAAGGAGGATAGATTGTAATGCCCCGTTCGATTACTGAATATTTGGGAATTATTTTTCATTATTTATTATTATTATAGTTATTATTATTATTATTATTATTTATCCTTATTTGTTGTTATTATTATCTATTGAATGCTATAAATTATTAATTGTCTAATATCATTTATTTGTCAAATTGCTTAATTGTCTAAATATTAATTAATTACCTAATTGTGTAAGTGTTATTAATTTATTTAAAATGTGTAATTGTATTTTACTAATATTATTATTATTTTAAAAATTAAATTGTGTGTATTATAAATATGTATTATATCCGGTTTATTTATGTGGCGATTTATCGAGCCCGAGAAGAACCAATTTAATTTTTAGCTAGTCGGGCCCGAGAGCTGAATCTTTTCCTTGAACCTCTCCCAAACCCGCGAACCCGGTCCGCCCGACCCGCGTGTGTGTGTTAAGTATTTCTTGTGG